TAGATAGAGGCTTAATTAGTTTATAATAAAAAAACTAAAGAAATAAATAAGAGATATATTTATTTTAATATATTTTCCAGCCTCTAGCTGTTTATAGTGATTTTTACCTGCTTAGAGCGATAGACCTCTTAACTCTACGCCTCTTAATAATATATACAGCCTTTAGTTATATAATCCTCTCTTAACTATAGCTACACTTATATATAAATATTATACTAGATAACCTTACGATCTTCAACTTCATTTTAATAATAATATATAGCTATACTATTATCAGTAACGCTCTCTCTATTTAGCGTAAGGCATACTTACTAATAAGCCCTAGAGGGCTACCTCTACCTTAGTATTATAGAGGGCTTATTTAAAGAAGGGCTACTCTATAAGGAGTATAAGGACCTTATTTACCTCTACTACTAAGTTTATATATTTACTATTAATTAAAGTATACGTTTTAAAGTCCTCTATAGAAGTATTAATAAGAGCTCTCTTAAGTATTACCTTAATTATATACTCTTTATATATATTAAGTTATACTAAAAAAGAGAGGTTTTATTAATCTAATTAATATTAAACTCTATAATAAGTTTTTATATATTATTTATATTAATATATATATTAAGCTTAAGGTATTTATATATAAGCTTAAGTACTAATATTATAAAGGTTTCTTATAGGTTATAAAAAGAGGAAGAGAGAAGGGTATAAGGCTTTATATATTAAGTTTATAGTTATAACGCAGCCCCCCTAGAAAAAGACTATAGCAAAATTCACCCTATATATAGGTATAATTCCAGAAACACTATATAGGTACTTTAACTTATACCCTCTACTAATTAAGGAAAACAGTATAGAAACCTTATATATTCTTACTAGTAAATAAACCCTCTAAATATTATAAAGTTAAACGCACACCTTAGTTAAATAGACTAATAGAATAGTAATAGCGCTAGTTATATAGCGTAAGGCTAGTAGCGCTATATATAGTAGGACTAATTATATTAGGGCTAAATAGGTTACTAAAGCTTATATAGCTAATAATAACTTTACTAAACTCTCTAGTAAAGTTCTATAAATACTACTATATAAGAGATAACTTCTTAACTAAAGAGGTTATTAGAAGAGGTTCTTATAGCTAGAAGTATAGAAACTCTATATATAGGGTTTTATACTTATCCCTCTTCCTCTTCCTCTTCCTTATCTTATAACCTATAATAAGTCCTTTATAATATCTATACTATAAGAGATATATAAGAACACTAATCCCCTATAAAGTATACTTTTTTATAAGTAAATAGCTAAAGGTATTACTATATAAGATAATATTTATATACTAAATAAAGCCTTTAAATTTAGTAAATACTCTTTTACTAATTAGTAGTATATTATTAAGGTAGTAATAGTTAGAGCTTTTATAAATACTTTTAAAGGGGACCCTCTTTATATTATAATTAAAGTAATAAATAATAGCTCTAAATACCTCTACGTAGAGGCTATATATATCTCTAGCTATCCTAAAAAGTAGCCCTTCTTTATATAAGCCTTCTATAATACTAAGGTAGAGGTAACTTAAGTTTAAGTATAAGTATAAGTATAGTAGGGCTTATTAGTAAGTATGCCTTATACTAACTAATAGAGAGAGTATTACTAATAATAGTATAGCTACTATAAAGGTATTAGCTAGCTTAATTAAATAAGAAGACTATAATAATAGTAATAACTTAATATTAGTAGTCTGATTAACCTATATAAGTAGGTATTATAGCTCACTCTATATATTTTTTTCCCTATACTTTAAACCTAATAGTAATACTTTAACCTATACCTAATCTTAATAAAGTAAATAAATAAATCTTAGTATAACTAGTTATTAACTCTTAGCTTAACTTATCCCTAGCTATATAGAAGAGGGTAAGTAGGTAAGTAGTAGGGTGGTAAAATATACTAGTGAGAGTATTATTTATAATACTATTATCTAATTATGAGAGCGTTGTTTATAATATTATGAAGGTGTTATCTATAATATAGCTAGAGCCTAGTGATAGCTTAAACCTATACTTAAGGGCGTAAACTTAATAATATAACTCTTTACTACTATAGCTAAAAGGGTTCTTATAGCTATAGTATAAGAACTTAACTACTACTTTAAATAAAGCCTTAAGCCTATTCCTTATATCCTCTTCTTATATATATAGTAACCTTATATAATATCCTTCCCCCTCTTTAAATATATATATATAAATTAAGTAAAGCTAACCTAGATAACTTAATCTATAAGACTAAAGTTAAGGATATTAAAGGCTCTAGTTATAGCTTACTTACTTATACTAATAAGATAACCTTTCTTAAATTCACTTAGCTATACCTATTTAAAACTATAATTAATAAAGATAATCTATAGTAGTTATATAGTTTTAAGATTAATATAGATATAGTTAAAACTATTAATAATAATCCTAATACTTATAAATATCTTATAAGCTTCCTTAAGATAGTTAAAGTGACTTAAGTAGAATATTAGTAAGTTAGGAAGGGTGAATCTAATATTAAGAGTATAGCTAATAGTAGTAGGGCTCTTTATTAAGATTATATAATAGGGCGGAAGATATTATCTAGGCGTAGATATTTAAATAGTAGAGGAGAGGAAGATAGGCGTGGATTAAATATAGCGTGAGAAATGGAGGAGACTGATAGAGATAGAGGCGGCTAGAGGAAGATAGTTAACTTAGCTCGTTATAATAGTTAAAGTTAGAGGAGTATAGAGGTGAAGAAGATATCTAAGTCTGAACTACTTATAGTTATATAACCTAAAGGTTATTAGTAGAGGGCGAGGGGACTAGTCTAGCTTTTACAGTTAATACTAGTTAAATTTCATAATATAAGGCTAGCGGCTAGTAATAACTTAATAGTAAATAGTAAAGTAGTAATAGAGATAGTATTAGTAGTATAGGTGATATATAAAAGTAAGGATAGGTTAATAGTTTAGTAGTTAGTAATTAAGTAATTAAGTAATTATAAACTATATTATTATTAAAATAAAGTTAAAGATTATAAGGTTATTTAGTATAATATATATATATAAGTGTAGCTATAGTTAGGAGAGTTATAATTATATGACTAAAAGCTGTATATATTATTAGGAGGCGTGGAGTTAGGAAGGTCTATCGCTCTAAGTAGGTAAAAATCACTATAAATAGCTAGAGGCCTAAGGCTTTATATATAGTAGAGCTTTTATACTTCTAGCTATAAGGATCTCTTAAAATAACCTCTTTAGTTAAGGAGTTATCTCTTATATAGTAGTGTTTATAGTACTTTACTAAAAGGTTTAGTAAAGCTATTATTAACTAGGTTATAAGAGCCTTAATAACCTATTTAGCTTTAATATAATTAGCCCTACTATATATAGTGCTATTACTACTAGCTTTATACTATATAGTTAGTACTATTACTATTCTACTAGTCTATTTAGCTAAAGTATATATTTAACTTTATAATATTTAGAGGGTTTACCTACTAATAGGAATATATAAGGTTTCTATACTATTTTCCTTAACTAGTAGAGGGTATAAGTTAAAGTACTTATATAGTATTTCTAGAATTATACCTACGTATAGGGTGAATTTTACTATAGTTTTTTTATAGGAGGGCTACGTTATAACTATAAACTTAATTAATATATTTTCTATTTTCTTTAATAATTTTAGTAATTAAATCTTTAAATAGGTTTTTAAAATATATTAATTAAGTTTATAGTTATAACGTAGCCCTCCTATAAAAAAACTATAGTAAAATTCACCCTATACGTAGGTATAATTCTAGAAATACTATATAAGTACTTTAACTTATACCCTCTACTAGTTNTTCTAAATTATTTAAAACTAAAAAGAAATAAAATACTATAGAAATAATACTACTAAATTTCTTTTTAGTAACTATTTTCTCTTAAGAAATAATACAGTATAAAATATAAAAATAGTAGAAAATATAAATAAAATATAAGTTTATTAAGTTTATATTTATATATTTACTTTGATACCTCTTATATCTCTTATAATTAGCTAAAAAAATCAATATATAAGTATGTAGGTATCTTTAAGGGGGTCTCTGCCTAGAGTGGAGTGCCTAGCATAATCGATAAGTTTTGTCCCTTGCCCTGTTGTAATACCTTCCTATTAATCCCCTTTATATAGGTGGACTAAATGCAGCTACTAGGCTAAATGTGAGGATAAACTCCACATCGTAGAAATGAAGTATTGCGATTCTTGCCACCATCCTCAGATCCCATGCCAGATCCGGCGTCATGGCATAGATCACGCCCAAGGCTTGTCTGCCTACCGCGCTGCAGAAAGCAAGGTAGCCGCAGACGGATATGCCCGAGGCATTGCGCAATCTCCGAGAGACCATAGCGGCGCAGACACAAAGTGTGGCAATGAGAAGAATGTCGACAATTGCAGTGTCATATATCCAGTCTAGAAACATGCCCAGGCCAAAGTAGAAGTCAGTCACGAGCAGAAGAACTGACAAAGCTTGAAAGGCGGGCGATCTTGACATATTGGCGGTTTTCTGGTTTTTACACGACGTAGAATAGAGACAAGGACTGGATGCCATGTCGCGCGAGAGATCCTGGTCAATTGCCCGAATTGCTGTTGTCAGAATTACGGACTCTCAGAAGAATGCTGTCATATTGTGTTTCGCACAGATATAAAAGCTCGTCGACTCAATGAAAGTTTTCATACTCTGAACATACAAACTCGATACCATCATTTAACACCCTTTGAGACGAAAATGCGGAGCAGTAATCATCCCCCATAGCTGTGCCAACCGCAATCTGTAGCATGTTCTAACAACGTCTGCGGATCTTCTAACATGAACTTGTCTTACAAAACCCGAACAAATTGTAGTGAGGATAAGAACCGTGGAAATGGGCCATGAAGCGCTGAGATAGACCCTACTGACCCTGCTGGCTCATTTCGGCACTACTAAAGCTCCCAGTCCGATCTGACTCAAGTCGCAGCTGAGCCAAGTCCTCCTTCCTTGATGTAGCTTGCTGATGCCCACGGCCAAACCTCCTCAATGGTTACATGGGTGGCCGGAAGACATGCGTTCTGAGCCAGTGCTTGGCCGGGGGGCTCAACAGCAGCGGCGCGCCAGTAGCCTTCGATGGTGCCAGGTTTGCAGACCGATCCAATTCCCGACTCGGATTGCCACGAAACCCTCTCCAGTGAAAGTCCTTGCCAAATAACCTTGAACTGCAGAGAAAGACCCGAGACCTTCCGATGGCCAATGATGGCCATGACTCGGGGACAATGGATCCATCCACCATTGAAGGCGAGGACTGCTTCGTTCCGACCGCCAGGGAAGCGTTTCCAAAAGTCAAGCACCTTGGAGTGGGCCAGCCAAGAGATGTCGTACTCAGACTTCCAGGCTGTGGATTTATCAGCGTATCTGACGTTCAGCTCAACGCCGTCGACGATGTCTACCCTATATCCGAGGATGGAATCGATGACATCAGCGAAGGTGTTCAGACAATCTGTGGTAGCCTTTTTATGCGGTGGCATCGAAGGTCAGCAAAATGTGTAGCGATCAGGTGACAAGAATGGATGAACATACCTCGGGGGGGACCGCATGGTCTGCAACTTCTTGTGCGGGCCGGGCGGCGTCATCCTCCTAGGACTGGACCCGAACTGGCTTTGGCACACGGCGAGATCGGGCCATAGGAGACTGGAATGTCGGTGAGAAAGGGATACAACGGCTTGGAGGTTGAAACGGCTTACATCATCGAATGAAGCAGCGGCAGCAGGGGACGCGTCCGGCGAGGCGCGTCTCTGAGCCTCTAGAGCGAGGCGTTCCGCTTTGTTGCGTCGTCTCGTTTCCCATCCTCGCCTCATGGCTTCGCTACGACTGATGGAAGTCATGGTTTGGATGTGGTGCGACGACTTTGAGAGTGAGATAGCGTAGGGGAGGAAAAAATGTAACTCTTCCAGATCTTGAGATGACGGAAGGTAGTGGTCAAGCCCAGACAAACCCCCACACTCCTCATGCGTGAAGTGGCTTAATTAATCTAGCTATGAGCGCTGGGCGCGCCTAGCTATAAAGTGGTGTAGCTAACCCCTTATATAAAGGTGGGATTTAGGTTAAGATTTAGGCCTTAGACTTAGGCTTAATTAATTACTATCTTATACCCCCCTTTTAATTAATATTATTAGTATTCTTTATAAAGTTATTCTTATTTTAAAGTAGTAATTAGATTAATTATATAACTATTAGTTTTATTTTTAGTTATTTTTTTTATTTTTATTTTTTTATATTAATTTTATTATCCTATTTTACTTCTTAAAATACTTCTAACTTTTAATTTTTAGTTATATATTAATTATAATATAGAACCCTTATTAATTTTAAAATAACTTTAATATAAATTTAAACTATATAGTTTAGTAGTTTAG